TGCCTCCGGTCATTCAACAGAGACAGACCTCTCTGTATTAGGGACAGAGTTAGGGCCACAGATACTTTAGGGACACAGAATCGTTACTTAGGGACACAGAATTGTTACTCAGGGACACAGAACTGTAACTCAGGGACACAGAACTGTAACTCAGGGACACAGAACTGTTACTCAGGGACACAGAACTGTAACTCAGGGACACAGAACTGTAACTCAGGGACACAGAACTGTTACTCAGGGACACAGAACTGTAACTCAGGAACACAGAACTGTTACTCAGGGACACACAGAACTGTAACTCAGGGACACAGAACTGTTACTCAGGGACACAGAACTGTAACTCAGGGACACAGAACTGTTACTCAGGGACAAAGAACTGTTACTCAGGGACAGACACAGAATTGTTACTGAGGGACACAGAATTGTTACTGAGGGACACAGAACTGTTACTCAGGGACACAGAACTGTTACTCAGGGACAGACACAGAATTGTTACTGAGGGACACAGAATTGTTACTGAGGGACACAGAATTGTTACTGAGGGACACAGAATTGTTACTGAGGGAAACAGAACTGTTTACTCAGGGACACAGAACTGTTACTCAGGGACACAGAACTGTTACTCAGGGACACAGAACTGTTACTCAGGGACAGACACAGAATTGTTACTGAGGGACACAGAATTGTTACTGAGGGGGACACAGAATTGTTACTGAGGGACACAGGGACTTGTTACTCAGGGACACAGAACTGTTACTCAGGGACACAGAACTGTTACTCAGGGACAGACACAGAAGAATTGTTACTGAGGGACACAGAATTGTTACTGAGGGACACAGAATTGTTACTGAGGGACACAGAACTGTTACTCAGGGACACAGAACTGTTACTCAGGGACACAGAATTGTTACTCAGGGACAGACACAGAATTGTTACTGAGGGACACAGAATTGTTACTGAGGGACACAGAACTGTTACTCAGGGACACAGAATTGTTACTCAGGGACAGACACAGAATTTGTTACTGAGGGACACAGAATTGTTACTGAGGGACACAGAATTGTTACTGAGGGACACAGAATGTTACTGAGGGACACAGAACTGTTACTCAGGGACAGACACAGAATTGTTACTGAGGGACACAGAATTGTTACTGAGGGACACAGAATTGTTACTGAGGGACACAGAATTGTTACTCAGGGACGGACACAGAATTGTTACTGAGGGACACAGAATTGTTACTGAGGGACACAGAACTGTTACTCAGGGACACAGACTGTTACTCAGGGACAAACTGTTACTCAGGGACACAGAACTGTTTACTCAGGGACACACAGAATTGTTACTGAGGGACACAGAAGGGACACAGAATTGTTACTCAGGGACACAGAACTGTTACTCAGGGACAGGGACTGAGGGACAGAATCAGAATTGTTACTCAGGGACACAGAATTGTTACTCAGGGACACAGAATTGTTACTCAGGGACACAGAATTGTTACTGAGGGACACAGAATTGTTACTCAGGGACACAGAATCGTTACTCAGGGACACAGAATCGTTGAATTAAAGAGTATGTCAGACAACACGCAGAGGAGTGGCAGAGGAGGCAATGTTTTAGGAGCGAGCAGACGTGGCAGCAGAGGAAGGGGTCGAGGCAGCACTACTAGTCGCAGCCAGAGGCCAGTGCTCCCGGTGTCATCCAGCGGTCGTGTCTCCACCGACAACCCTGCCGTCATCGATTGGTTGGCTCGGTCGTCGTCTTCCTCTTCCCAGGTCACCTCTGACACCTACAGCCAACGGTCGGTGGGTATGTCAGACACAACCGTTAGTTGGCATGGCCCGGGAGCAAGCCCACTGAAATCACGTGTCCTCTACCTGCCCCTGTCCTTTGGTGTTCCCTCACCAAGCGAAGTATCGCATGCTGTGGGCTCAGCCCCACTGTACAGTGAGGAAGAGCTAACAGAGGGCGGTCAGGAACGGGGGGAGACATCCGCCTCTTCAGCAGCCAGGCGAAGAAGTAGTGGGCGAGGAGAGTGGCTCGGTAGCCGGTCTAGAGACAGGTCTGTCTCCTGACCCACACGCAGCCGAGGGGGCTAGTAGTGAGGCGGAGAGACCCTAATTGATGATGAGGAGGCTGATCGCACACTTGGCAGCCTCGTCGTCATCAGGCAATTTCTTCCGCATCATCAGGAGAAGAGGGTGCCAGCTTGGCAGCGAGCAAAACAGTCGGTGGGTTGCCCAGGAGGCAGCAGGGTCGCAGCAGTGTCAGTGGAGGCAAACGGCCACGGAGTACAGCACCAGCTCCACTGCAGCAGCCTACCACCACGGCCAGTAGTGGTGCCGGTGTGTGCACGGAGGAAGTAGCAGTCAGCCAGTGAGGAGTAGCGGGGGCAAAGTTTCCTACTCGGCGGTGTGGCAATTTTTTTCGTCAAGCCGCCCGAGGAAGTAAACGTAGCCGTAATGTCGACTATGTGGCCAGAAAGTCAAGCGTGGCCAGGGGGGCCCATGTTGGGACTACAGCGTTGCGTCAGCATATGCAGCGTCGCCATTTGGTGGCCTGGGAAAAACCGTGATAAAGATACGGCGGTTCTGCCTGCCCCAGCCCCCGCTCCATCACCCGCTCCGTTACTTGCTCCGTCACCCGACGTCAATCGCCCTCTATCAGCCAGTCAAGGCTCCAACACCTCTGCTGAGGGGAGTTGTCGCTCGTTGGCATCTTCCGCTCGTTCAGATGCTCCTTTCTCCTGCTACTCCTCTTCACGGATTCCGTCAGCAGTCTTTCTTGGAATCCGTTTCCAAGAGACAACAGTTTGCGAGCACGCACCCGACGGTGCAGAAGCTGAACGTCCTCCTGTCCAAGTTGCTGGTGCTGCAGTCCCTCCCTTTCCAAGTGGTGGTGGACTCAGCACCTTTCCGAGAGAAATGATGGCTTGTGCCGCGCCGCGGTGGAGAGTGCCAAGCCGGCATTTCTTCGCCAAAAAGGCAGTGCCAGCCCTGCATTCACATGTAGAAGAGATGGTGGGCCAGTCTTTGAGCATGTCGGTCTCTGCCAAAGTGCACACGGCAGCGCCGACGTGTGGAGCTGTAAACTACGGTCAGGGACAGTACATGTCATTTACGGCCCACTGGGTGAACGTGGTGCCGGCACAGCCGCACCAGCAACTTGGACAGGTCACGCCGCTTTTGCCTCCACGTTTGCACGTCCTTGGTCCAGCAAACATGTCCGCCTCTACCACCTCTTCTTCCGCCGTGTCCTCAGCCGCCACCCCCGTGCCAAGTCCCATTACCCGACCGGCATATCACATGTGCAGGGCGCAACGGTGTCACGCTGTGCTGCACCTGGTATGCCTTGGCGAACGTAGTCACACAGGGGAGGAACTTCTGAGTGTAATGAACAGAGAAATCGACAGATGGCTGTCTCCGCGCAAACTGAAAATCGGAACCATGTTGACCGACAACGGAAAGAACATGGTGTCTGCTCTGCGTCAAGGAAGGTTGTGCCATGCGCCATGCATGGCTCACGTGTTCAATCTGGTTGTCAAGCGGTTCCTAAAATCCACCATCCCACTGCAAGACATCCTTAAAATGTCACGTAAACTTTGCATGCATTTCAGCCATTCCTACACCGCAAAGCACACCCTCCTTGAGCTGCAGCGGCAGAACGGAATTCCACAGCATCGCCTGATCTGCGACGTTGCAACAAGGTGGAATTCAACCCTACACATGTTAGACCGCCTTTACGAACAGCGAAAGGCCATCACCGATTTCCTGATGTTACAAGCGGATAAAGGTACTCCCCTGTGTAACTTCGATGTCAGCCATTGGCAGCTCATGCGTGACACCTGCCGCTTGCTCAGGCCCTTTGAGGAGGCCACGCTATTCGTGAGTCGGCAGGACTATGGGATGAACGACGTCATTCCTCTGTTGCACGTCCTGGAACAAATGCTGTTAACAATGGCTGGTCAGGGTGCGGTAGTAGACGTGGCGCACAGATCTCAACGCCACATGACCCCTGTGGGGGCAGGACAGGACAGAAGAAGAGGAGGAGGTAGAGGAGGACATTGGTGCTCAGGAATTATTGAGTGAAATGGGTGGTTTTTCCACTCAGCGGACAGGAGTGGAGGAGCAGGAGCATCTGGTAGAGGAGGAGGAGGAGGAGACAGAGGACCCAGACGCACCGTGGCAGTATGCTGTGGAGATGGAGGCAGGGAGTCCCTCGCATTCCTTGGCACAAATGGCCCATAGCATGCTCGGTTGCTTGCGTAGCGACAGCCGAATAATAACCATCAGACAGAGGGATGACTTTTGGCTGTCCACCTTGTTGGACCCTCGCTACCGTTCAAAAATGGTGGCCTTTTTCACACCTGCTGAGAGGGAGGCCAAAATAACGTACTATAAAAACCACCTATGTAGTCAGTTGGTCTCTGCCTTTCTGCGCCAACGTCCATCCTCAGACACTGTGGGCCCTGTGCGCTCGCGTTCCGCTGCCATGGCAGCAGGGGAGGGGTGGGGTGGTAGGAGCAGTGGCAGCTCCACCAGCAGCGGCTGCCTCAGTCTGCAGTCGATGATGAGTAGCTTTCTTCACCAGCGCAGTGAGGAAACTACTAACCAGCCGCAGCAGCAGCAGCAGCAGCAGCAGCATCAGGTGGACCTGGAGCAGGACCTCAAACAACAGGCTTGGGCCTACTTGGACAGCACCCTGCCAACCGAGGTAGACAATCCCCTTGACTACTGGGCAACGAAACTTGACCTTTGGCCCCAACTAGCTGAATTTGCCCTTGAAAGGCTGTCATGCCCGGCCAGTAGTAGCGTGGCATCGGAGCGCGTGTTTAGTGCGGCAGGAGGTATTGTAACTCCGCGGAGGACACGACTGTCCACCCAAAGTGTGGAGAGACTCACGTTTGTGAAAATGAATCAGGCGTGGATTAGTCTGGATTTCAAACCACCAGTTCCTGACACAACTGACTAAATCCGCCATGAATCATGCCCCAACATGTGTGCCACTTTCAGGTCTCCTCACACTGCTGGTGGGTTCCATTTTGTCATAGGGTGCTGGCAGATTACGGGCCTCCCATTGCTGCTGCCAGGCCCGTAATCTGCCATGGGCCCCTGTACCGCCTCCTCATGCTGCTGCCAGGTCCAGAGTGTCTCATGGGTCCCTGTACGGCCTCCCATTGCTGCTGTCTCCATCGCCACACTCTGCCATGTGCCACTTTCAGGTCTCCTCACACTGCTGCTGGGTGTCCCATTTTTTGTCATAGGGTGCTGGCAGATTACGGGCCTCCCATTGCTGCTGCCAGGCCCCTAATCTGCCATGGGCCCCTGTACCGCCTCCTCATGCTGCTGCCAGGTCCACAGTGTCTCATGGGTCCCTGTACGGCCTCCCATTGCTGCTGTCTCCATCGCCACACTCTGCCATGTGCCACTTTCAGGTCTCCTCACACTGCTGCTGGGTTCCATTTTGTCATAGGGTGCTGGCAGATTACGGGCCTCCCATTGCTGCTGCCAGGCCCCTAATCTGCCATGGGCCAGTGTATACCCCCTGTACCGCCTCCTCATGCTGCTGCCAGGTCCACAGTGTCTCATGGGTCCCTGTACGGCCTCCCATTGCTGCTGTCTCCATCGCCACACACTCTGCCATGTGCCACTTTCAGGTCTCCTCACACTGCTGCTGGGTTCCATTTTGTCATAGGGTGCTGGCTTTACGGGCCTCCCATTGCTGCTGCCAGGCCCCTAATCTGCCATGGGCCCCTGTACCGCCTCCTCATGCTGCTGCCAGGTCCACAGTGTCTCATGGGTCCCTGTACGGCCTCCCATTGCTGCTGTCTCCATCGCCACACTCTGCCATGTGCCACTTTCAGGTCTCCTCACACTGCTGCTGGGTTCCATTTTTGTCATAGGTGCTGGCAGATTACGGGCCTCCCATTGCTGCTGCCAGGCCCCTAATCTGCCATGGGCCCCTGTACCGCCTCCTCATGCTGCTGCCAGGCCAGGTCCACAGTGTCTCATGGGTCCCTGTACGGCCTCCCATTGCTGCTGTCTCCATCGCCACACTCTGCCATGTGCCACTTTCAGGTCTCCTCACACTGCTGCTGGGTTTTCCATTTTGTCATAGGGTTGCTGGCAGATTACGGGCCTCCCATTGCTGCTGCCAGGCCCCTAATCTGCCATGGGCCCCTGTGTACCGCCTCCTCATGCTGCTGCCAGGTCCACAGTGTCTCATGGGTCCCTGTACGGCCTCCCATTGCTGCTGTCTCCATCGCCACACTCTGCCATGTGCCACTTTCAGGTCTCCTCACACTGCTGCTGGGTTCCATTTTTGTCATAGGGTGCTGGCAGATTACGGGCCTCCCATTGCTGCTGCCAGGCCCCTAATCTGCCATGGGCCCCTGTACCGCCTCCTCATGCTGCTGCCAGGTCCACAGTGTCTCATGGGTCCCTGTACGGCCTCCCATTGCTGCTGTCTCCATCGCCACACTCTGCCATGTGCCACTTTCAGGTCTCCTCACACTGCTGCTGGGTTGGGTTCCATTTTGTCATAGGGTGCTGGCAGATTACGGGCCTCCCATTGCTGCTGCCAGGCCCCTAATCTGCCATGGGCCCCTGTACCGCCTCCTCATGCTGCTGCCAGGTCCACAGTGTCTCATGGGTCCCTGTACCGCCCCTCATTGCTGCTGTCTCCATCGCCACACTCTGCCATGTGCCACTTTCAGGTCTCCTCACACTGCTGCTGGGTTCCATTTTGTCATAGGGTGCTGGCAGATTACGGGCCTCCCATTGCTGCTGCCAGGCCCCTAATCTGCCATGGGCCCCCTGTGTACCGCCTCCTCATGCTGCTGCTGCCAGTCCACAGTGTCTCATCATGGGTCCCTGTACGGCCTCCCATTGCTGCTGTCTCCATCGCCACACTGCCATGTGCCACTTTCAGGTCTCCTCACACTGCTGCTGGTGGGTTCCATTTTGTCATAGGTGCTGGCAGATTACGGGCCTCCCATTGCTGCTGCCAGGCCCCTAATCTGCCATGGGCCCCTGTACCGCCTCCTCATGCTGCTGCCAGGTCCACAGTGTCTCATGGGTCCCTGTACCGCCCTCCCATTGCTGCTGTCTCCATCGCCACACTCTGCCATGTGCCACACTCAGGTCTCCTCACACTGCTGCTGGGTTCCATTTTGTCATAGGGTGCTGGCAGATTACGGGCCTCCCATTGCTGCTGCCAGGCCCCTAATCTGCCATGGGCCCCTGTACCGCCTCCTCATGCTGCTGCCAGGTCCACAGTGTCTCATGGGTCCCTGTACGGCCTCCCATTGCTGCTGTCTCCATCGCCACACTCTGCCATGTGCCACTTTCAGGTCTCCTCACACTGCTGCTGGGTTCCATTTTGTCATAGGGTGCTGGCAGATTACGGGCCTCCCATTGCTGCTGCCAGGCCCCTAATCTGCCATGGGCCCCTGTACCGCCTCCTCATGCTGCTGCCAGGTCCACAGTGTCTCATGGGTCCCTGTACGGCCTCCCATTGCTGCTGTCTCCATCGCCACACTCTGCCATGTGCCACTTTCAGGTCTCCTCACACTGCTGCTGGGTTCCATTTTGTCATAGGGTGCTGGCAGATACGGGCCTCCCATTGCTGCTGCCAGGCCCCTAATCTGCCATGGGCCCCTGTACCGCCTCCTCATGCTGCTGCCCAGGTCCACAGTGTCTCTCATGGGTCCCTGTACGGCCTCCCATTTGCTGCTGTCTCCATCGCCACACTCTGCCATGTGCCACTTTCAGGTCTCCTCACACTGCTGCTGGGTTTCCATTTTGTCATAGGGTGCTGGCAGATTACGGGCCTCCCCCATTGCTGCTGCCAGGCCCCTAATCTGCCATGGGCCCCCTGTACCGCCTCCTCCTCATGCTGCTGCCAGGTCCACAGTGTCTCTCATGGGTCCCTGTACGGCCTCCCATTGCTGCTGTCTCCATCGCCACACTCTGCCATGTGCCACTTTCAGGTCTCCTCACACTGCTGCTGGGGTTCCATTTTGTCATAGGGTGCTGGCAGATTACGGGCCTCCCATTGCTGCTGCCAGGCCCCTAATCTGCCATGGGCCCCCTGTACCGCCTCCTCATCCTGCTGCTGCCAGGTCCACAGTGTCTCATGGGTCCCTGTACGGCCTCCCATTGCTGCTGTCTCCATCGCCACACTCTGCCATGTGCCACTTTCAGGTCTCCTCACACTGCTGCTGGGTTCCATTTTGTCATAGGGTGCTGGCAGATTACGGGCCTCCCATTGCTGCTGCCAGGCCCCTAATCTGCATGGGCCCCTGTACCGCCTCCTCATGCTGCTGCCAGGTCCAGAGTGTCTCATGGGTCCCTGTACGGCCTCCCATTGCTGCTGTCTCCATCGCCACACTCTGCCATGTGCCACTTTCAGGTCTCCTCACACTGCTGCTGGGTTCCATTTTGTCATAGGGTGCTGGCAGATTACGGGCCTCCCATTGCTGCTGCCAGGCCCCCCTGTAATCTGCCATGGGCCCCCGTACCGCCTCCTCATGCTGCTGCCAGGCCCAGTAAATCTGTCATGGGCCCCTGTACCCCTCCTCATGCTGCCTCCCTGCTGCTGCCAGGTCCAGAGTGTGTCATGGGTCCCTGTACGGCCTCCCATTGCTGCTGTCTCCATCGCCACACTCTGCCATGTGCCACTTTCAGTCTCCTCACACTGCTGCTGGGTTCCATTTTGTCATAGGGTGCTGGCAGATTACGGGCCTCCCATTGCTGCTGCCAGGCCCCTAATCTGCCATGGGCCCCTGTACCGCCTCCTCATGCTGCTGCCAGGTCCACAGTGTCTCTCATGGGTCCCTGTACGGCCTCCCATTGCTGCTGTCTCCATCGCCACACTCTGCCATGTGCCACTTTCAGGTCTCCTCACACTGCTGCTGGGTTCCATTTTGTCATAGGGTGCTGGCAGATTACGGGCCTCCCATTGCTGCTGCCCAGGCCCCTAATCTGCCATGGGCCCCTGTACCGCCTCCTCATGCTGCTGCCAGGTCCACAGTGTCTCATGGGTCCCTGTACGGCCGCCTCCCATTGCTGCTGTCTCCATCGCCACACTCTGCCATGTGCCACTTTCAGGTCTCCTCACACTGCTGCTGGGTTCCATTTTGTCATAGGTGCTGGCAGATTACGGGCCTCCCATTGCTGCTGCCAGGCCCCTAATCTGCCATGGGCCCCTGTACCGCCTCCTCATGCTGCTGCCAGGTCCACAGTGTCTCATGGGTCCCTGTACCGCCTCCCATTGCTGCTGTCTCCATCGCCACACTCTGCCATGTGCCACTTTCAGGTCTCCTCACACTGCTGCTGGGTTCCATTTTGTCATAGGGTGCTGGCAGATTACGGGCCTCCCATTGCTGCTGCCAGGCCCCTAATCTGCCATGGGCCCCTGTACCGCCTCCTCATGCTGCTGCCAGGTCCACAGTGTCTCATGGGTCCCTGTACGGCCCTGTACGCCTCCCATTGCTGCTGTCTCCATCGCCACACTCTGCCATGCCATGTGACTTTCAGGTCTCCTCACACTGCTGCTGGGTTTCCATTTTTTTTGTCATAGGTGCTGGCAGATTACGGGCCTCCCATTGCTGCTGCCAGGCCCCTAATCTGCCATGGGCCCCTGTACCGCCTCCTCATGCTGCTGCCAGGTCCACAGTGTCTCATGGGTCCCTGTACGGCCTCCCATTGCTGCTGTCTCCATCGCCACACTCTCTGCCATGTGCCACTTTCAGGTCTCCTCACACTGCTGCTGGGTTCCATTTTTTCATAGGGTGCTGGCAGATTACGGGCCTCCCATTGCTGCTGCCAGGCCCCTAATCTGCCATGGGCCCCTGTACCGCCTCCTCATGCTGCTGCCAGGTCCAAGTGTCTCATGGCTGCCTCCTCATGCTGCTGCCAGGTCCACAGTGTCTCATGGGTCCCTGTACGGCCTCCCATTGCTGCTGTCTCCATCGCCACACTCTGCCATGTGCCACTTTCAGGTCTCCTCACACTGCTGGGTGGGTTCCATTTTTTTTTGTCATAGGGTGCTGGCAGATTACGGGCCTCCCATTGCTGCTGCCAGGCCCCTAATCTGCCATGGGCCCCTGTACCGCCTCCTCATGCTGCTGCCAGGTCCACAGTGTCTCATGGGTCCCTGTACGGCCTCCCATTGCTGCTGTCCTCCATCGCCACACTCTGCCATGTGCCACTTTCAGGTCTCCTCACACTGCTGCTGGGTTCCATTTTGTCATAGGGTGCTGGCAGATTACGGGCGTCTCCCATTGCTGCTGCCAGGCCCCTAATCTGCCATGGGCCCCTGTACCGCCTCCCATGCTGCTGCCAGGTCCACAGTGTCTCATGGGTCCCTGTACGCCTCCCATTGCTGCTGTCCCATCGCCACACTCTGCCATGTGCCACTTTCAGGGTCCCTGTACTGCTGCTGGGTCCCATTGCTGCTGCCATAGAGGCTGGCAGGGTCGCAGCAGTGTCAGTGGAGGCAAACGGCCACGGATCTGAGCACCAGCTCCTGCAGCCTACCACCATCTGCTGTGGTGCCGGTACGGGAGGAATGCTGCCCTGTAGCAGTCTGCCCCATGTAGGAGTAGCGGGGGCAAAGTTTCCCTACACGGCGGTGTGGCAATTTTTCCTCAAGCCGCCCGAGGAAGTGCCACTTTCAGGTCTCCTCACATGCTGCTATGGGGCCAGAAATAGAGTGCTGGCAGGGGCCTCCCCCCATGCCATGTGCCCTTTCAGGCTCTACAGCGTTGCGTCAGGGGCATATGCAGCGCCTCGCCATTCGGCTGGCCTGGGAAACCGTGATAATGGGTCCGGCGGTTCTGCCTCCCCAGCTGGGTGTCCCATTTTGTCACATAGGGTGCTGGCAGATTACGGGCCTCCCATTGCTGCTGCCAGCTGCCCGTAATCTGCCATGGGCCCCCCGGCACCGGGCCTCCCATGCTGCTGCCAGGCCCGTAATCTGTCATGGGCCCCTGTACCGCCTCCTCATGCTGCTGCCAGGTCCACAGTGTGTCATGGGTCCCTGTACGGCCTCCCATTGCTGCTGTCTCCATCGCCACACTCTGCCATGTGCCACTTTCAGGTCTCCTCACACTGCTGCTGGTGGGTTCCATTTTGTCATAGGGTGCTGGCAGATTATGGGCTCCCATTGCTGCTGCCAGGCCCCTAATCTGCCATGGGCCCCCGTACCGCCTCCTCATGCTGCTGCCAGGCCCGTAATCTGTCATGGGCCCCTGTACCGCCTCCTCATGCTGCTGCCCAGGTCCAGAGTGTGTCATGGGTCCCATGTACGGCCTCCCATTGCTGCAGCTGCCAGGTCTCCACGTGCTGGGTTCTGCCATGCCATAGGGTGCCCCCAGTATTACGGGCTCCTCATGCTGCTGCCAGGCCCGTAATCTGTCATGGGCCCCTGTACCGCCTCCTCCTCCTCATGCTGCTGCCAGGTCCAGAGTGTGTCATGGGTCCCTGTACGGCCTCCCATTGCTGCTGTCTCCATCGCCACACTCTGCCATGTGCCACTTTCAGGTCTCCTCACACTGCTGGTGGGTTCCATTTTGTCATAGGGTGCTGGCAGTACGGCCTCCCATTGCTGCTGCCAGGCCCGTAATCTGCCATGGGCCCCCGTACCGACTCCTCATGCTGCTGCCAGGCCCGTAATCTGTCATGGGCCCCTGTACCGCCTCCTCATGCTGCTGCCAGGTCCAGAGTGTGTCATGGGTCCCTGTACGGCCTCCCATTGCTGCTGTCTCCCCGCCACACTCTGCCATGTGCCACTTTCAGGTCTCCTCACACTGCTGCTGGGTTCCATTTTGTCATAGGGTGCTGTATGGCCTCCCATTGCTGCTGCCAGGCCCGTAATCTGCCATGGGCCCCCGTACCGACTCCCTCATGCTGCCAGGCCCGTAATCTGTCATGGGCCCCTGTACCGCTTCCTCATGCTGCTGACCAGGTCCAGAGTGTGTCATGGGTCCCTGTACGGCCTCCCTGCTGCTGTCTCCATCACCACACTCTGCCATGTGCCACTTTCAGGTCTCCTCACACTGCTGGTGGGTTCCATTTTGTCATAGGGTGCTGTATGGCCTCCCATTGCTGCTGCCTCCACCGCCACACTGTGGCTCCACACTCTGGTTTTGGCCCCGTGACTGCCCAAATGAGTGAAGTGTGCGGTGATTCTAAGATCGACGGCACTCATCTGCATGTCATACTGACTGACAGTATTATTTTCTCTTCCCCAGCAGACTCCAAGGGCATTTAAATTAAAGGTACAGTGTTCTGCACTAATATAAAGGCTCTCTGAAGCCTAGAAACACCCTTTTATAAGTTAAATTCGCAGCGAATATATTCGACTCGAATCGAATTTTTTCCACGAATTCGCCGAATCAGTCGAATCGAATTTTTGAATAATTCGCTCATCTCTAATCCTCACCATGGAATAAGTTTTTAAATCGGTCATGAGGTGGTATCTAGTCCTTTCCTGTCTAACACATCTCCACCCCACCTATTTCAGGGGCTGTACCACTCCGGGAGACCCTCTTCATATCTGGTGGACATGCCCTATGCTCTCTCTGTTTTGGTCGAAAAGTCCTCTAACTTCTGAATTCCTTACTATCATGCTCCTTCCCAAGGGACCTGTGGCATGTCCTCCTGCATTTGAAACCCCAGGGCTTCACTAAAAATCAGTTCAAACTGGCTACTTATGTGTTTACTGACGGCAAAACAAACCATAGCGAAGGCATGGAAACAACAGTTTATGTTTTTCACGGAGTCAGGTGCCACTTGGATTTTTTTCTTTATCAATGAGAAGTTAACTAGCATTCTTTTAGATACACATGACAAATTCCTTAAAATGTGGACTCCATGGATCCAACATGCCCATCCCACTATGTCAGCCGTTAGTTACACATCATTATATTGCCGTGCCCCTGGGGTTCAGGCTTGGGCACTTCTGATGTCCTTCTCCACTTCCTATTTTTCACTTCCCTCCCTTTTCTTCTCCTTCTCTTTTTTCCCTTTTTTTTTTTTACTCTGTTCCTAAGCTCACCAGTCGGACTGATTGGTGGAATACGATCTGTTCCTGTTTATTTTCTTGTATATTTATTAAATGATGTAGCTCACAAATCACTACTTCACCTACATACCTCTGCTTTTGCAATACAGATGTATGGACTTTTTCTTGTTACCCATATCTCGTATAAAGTGATCCATGTACATTTGTCATGCCGAATGTCTTGTTGTTTACCACGGTTCTTGTATGACGTTTTGCTGTCTTTGATTCCTGGGTCATTGACTTTGTTTTTCCATCAGAATATGTAATAACGGTAACCATTGTATCTTTTGAAACATTATTTCAATAAAAACTCATTGAAATTGAATAACCATGCTGAACACACTGTTTATTTCTACCAGTAACACTATCAAGTTCCTAGTCAATGAGTAATGATTAAACAACATGCATGTCAAAGCCATGTGTGATTTAAAACTTTAAACTCAACATCTTCACCCACTTTTTGGACAAGTAGGGAAAGCTTACAATTTCAGTAAGGTTTTTAATTTTTGTGTCAGAAATGTTGGAATTATGGTTTTCCCCGCGGATTTGTGTGGGCACATGTACTAGCACTCATTGCAATCTGTGGTACTTCATCTAGTATTAAGACTGCACGTGAATCTGCACACAGCTTCTGCATGAGCTAGCATGGTGTTGGCACCAAACTTTCTATAAAAAGCTTAACATTGCCTAGAGAAGTCATTGAGTGGTCATCAGCTATTTATGTGACCTGACCTGCACATCTGATCTCCCATTAACAACCCTGCTTGTCTCCTGAACCCAATCCTCCCATTGTTGATCTTGGCTTGTGTTCTTGACTTTGCTTACTGTCTGCTACCTTGGTACCTTTGCTGTCTGTTTGATCTACCTCGGTCTGCACTTTGACTTTGCCTCTTCTCTCTGAACTAATACATCTGCTGTTTGGTTGTTGCTGACCTTGGCTCATCCTGACTATGACTTTGCCTCCTGCTTCTGTGAGTTCCTTTGCTCAATCTGTAAACCACCACACATTGACACTGCAGTGGGGACTAAATTATCTCCAGGCTGTCTGCTGCTTCTAGACTTACTAAAGACATAGGTGCCATGCCTTGTCTTCTCACACTCTGTCAACAACTCCAAGGGTATTGAATAGTGAGTGTAAGAGAAGTAATCTCATCAATTTGGTCATCTTCAGATGTGGTTTGTCTGTGACACCTTTACAGAGATTTTTCCTCATTTCCTGTCTTTGTGATGCCTCTGTACTGGAAATAGAGGGTGTGGTGGGCATGAGAACAGGAATGCAAAGACATAAATAAAAACATTCTCAGTAGTTGTAATCAATCTTCACTCTACTAAAAATGTGTTTTTGTCTGTGCCCCTGTTGAATAGATTTCTCATCATTTCTTGTCTTGACAAAATATGAAGGAAAATGTAACCAACAGAGACAGACACTAACGGTAAAACTTAACAGAGGCTCTAACTGTCCCTCTCCCCCTTATCCAAAAGATCTGCTAAATATATTACTGAAAGCAAAGTCAAAACAAAGCGTTAGATCCTGCCAAAAATGTTGTACACTCTCTGTGCTGCATGCCTCTTGGGTATCTTGTCCTCAGCTATCTTTGAAGGGTACCATATCCCTCACTTTTATGTTATTATTATTATTATTATTATTATTATTATACAGTATTTATAAAGCGCCAATAGTTCGCTCAGCGCTGTACATTACAAAGGGAGACAGAACATGTGACAGAACAATACCAATACAATGCAAAACATGAGGGGATCAAGGGCCCTGCTCTTTCGAGCTTACAATCTAGGAGGGAGGGGGTGGTGGCACAGGAGGAGATGGCTGTGGGGGATGGAGTGGTAGGAAGAGTGGAGGAGGTCGGCAAGTTAGCAGGGGGTGGGGTAGGCTTCCCTGAAGAGATGGGTTTTCAGGGTGCGCCTAAAGGAGAGGAGAGTAGGTGATAATCTGATGGGTTGGGGCAGGGAGTTCCAGAGGATGGGTGACACCCTGGAGAAGTCCTGGAGGCGGGCATGGGAGGAGGAGACCAGGGAACTAGAGAGAAGGAGGTCTTGTGAGGAGCGGAGTGTGCGTGCTGGGCGGTACTTGGATATTAGGTCAGAGATGTGGTACGGGGCAGTATGGTGGACAGCTTTGTACGTCAGTGTTAGGATTTTGAATTTGATCCGTTGCGCAATCAGAAGCCAGTGGAGGGATTGGCAGAGGGGGGTGGCGGAGACAGAGCGGTTGGAAAGGTGAATGAGTCTGGCAGCCGTGTTCAGGATGGACTGAAGAGGGGATAGCCAGCAGCGAGGCAGGCCACTGAGGAGGGAGTTGCAGTAGTCGAGTCGTGATATGATGAGGGAGTGGATGAGCTGTTTAGTGGTTTCTGGGGTTAGGAACGTGCGGATTTTGGCGATGTTGCGGAGGTGGAGTCTGCACGAGTTTGTTAAAGATTGGACTTGGGGCTGGAAGGATAGGTTGGAGTCCAGAATGACACCCAGTACTCTGGCCTGCAGGGCGGGTTTGATGGTAGCGTTGTTGGATGTGACGGAGAAATCAATGGGGGGTGGTGTCCGGGCTGGGGGGAAGACAAGAAACTTGGTTTTGGAGAGGTTCAATTTAAGGAAGTGGAGCGACATCCAGTCTGATATGTCGCTCAGTAGGTGTGTGATTCGGGCTGAGACCAAGGGGGTGAGGTGGGGGGTTGAGAGATAGATTTGTGTGTCGTCGGCATAGAGGTGGTAGTTGAAGCCGTGAGAGTGTATGAGTTGGCCAAGGGAGGAGGTATAGATGGAGAAGAGAAGGGGCCCGAGGACAGAGCCTTGAGGGACCCCAACAGAGAGGGGGAGTGAGGGGGAGGTGGTAGCATTATAGGTATATAGCATTATAGGTATGTTATAAAGAAAAGGGGAGGATGTGCTGGAGTCCTTTCCTAGGTGACAATACTACTAGTGTCAGCCAAGATCTGGGGGCACCTACAAACATACGAATCCTACTGTAAACATCTGCACCTGGTAAACATTCTCTGATATTTGTAGAGATGTTTACCCTTAGGAATACTCTACACTAAGTATATATGTATGCTATTAGTAAGTTCTCATCTCCTCAACTGAACTTGATGATAGTACAAACACACTTTCATAAGAAAGGAGGCCTCAGAGCTCTCAAGAAGCCTAGGTTTTGTGCAGTTAACCAATGGGCAGCCTGTCTAAGGCTCTTCACTCTTTCATTAATTATTATAGATAGTTATATTAATACTTAAGGTGGTAGTTAACCCTGTGAGTGCACTTGTACCTACAGGTAAGCTTACAATCAAGTTTACTTGTAGACATAATGAATATCTCCTAAATTTTTACAATTTAGGAGCTATTTCCATTGGTAATGGCTGATGACATCACCTGCACATGTGTAGTGATGCATTGCATTCACAGCCACACAGTATGCCACGTAATGTAGACCGCCAAGCCTTGACTTAATTGCGGCCTAGACATTCAAACGACCAGAGCCCGCAAATTCGGAAGAAACACCGTTTGAAAATGGAAGCTTCTGCAGTGGTGAGCTTAACTGAAGGGCTTCATTTCTAAGGTAAGTTTGTCTATATATGCTAGTATGTGGTGCATAAATATGAAAGGGGGCCACATTTTTCTCAAGCTTACTACCACTTAAAAACAATATCAATTTCATAAAAATATAAAGATGTCAAAACAGAGGAACTATGTTTATTTGCTGTATATTTATATTGTAAAGTGCTGAGCAAACTGTTATATAAATCCTGTATAATAATAATAATAATATCCTAGGCCTGTTCATTTACATGCTCAGTTTTTCTTTGTGGAAAGAACAGGTTTATTTGAAAAAAAATACTCCCAAAATATGATGAATGCCTTTAAGTGTTTTTAAATAATTTCCTATTCTGTTAGAGAATTTGCCTAAACTCTTATTTATTATTTAGATTATTGAACTCTTGTTATCTTTATTTGCTGCATGCTAACTAAAATGTTAAATCAGGTTTGCAGCGGAGTTCTCTCTGTTCTGTAAGGTGATGAATAAAAGGGGAAGGTTCATAGGAGAGAGAGGTGAGTGTTGGTGATGTCCACTATTTGTCCAATGAGCAAGCAGAAGATGAAGCAGTATCAAGTGTATGCAGAATAGCAGGTTTTGAAAACAGTTGTCTCCT